CAATCACAAAGGGTTTGTTATATTATACTAAATGATATTTGTCGGCGAAACAACAGAGACTACTCACCTAAACATATTTATTATTAAATCAACTATCTATCTAAATTTATTCTTTATTTGAGTTACTATAAATATTTTTCCACTATAAGGTGACAATAATTGTGGTCTGGTATATGTGTTTGAATAGCCTGCCAAAATTTAGAAACAAACAAAAAAATAATTTAAAATGTGAATATTGAACGGGAAATAAGCAACCGAATGTACTCTATCCTGTAAATGACAGAACACGCTGGATACCTTGTACTCTTAAAAGAATCAAAATGGCAACTTCTAAAATTGCCAAAAAATTATTCGAACCACAAATTACATATCTTTAGATACAATCAGGGATGATATAGCGAAACACACAAATAAAAATAAGATACAAAAACAAACTGTTAGTACTATTTACAACAATAAAGAACACTTCTACAATTCAGAAGATACGAAAATAAACATATCTCCGCGTTCATCGGTTGACCAACATAATATATTAACCTCTTTAATAAAAAAATATGTATATTTATTTACTTCAAATATACCTGATTTACATCCAGCCAATGTACAGCCGTGTGAAATTAGAATAAAACCTGTTTATAGTATTTTATTTTATATAATTATTAAATGATCTTGTACAAATTAATATTTATACAATTACATAAATTCCCCCGGCAGTGGAAGAAGGCCAGGTTGGTGTTTCTAAGAAAGGGTGACAAGCTCGAGGGTTTCCCCTCGTCATACCGACTTTTTTGTATGTTGGACGATCTGAGGAAGATCCTCGAGAGGCACTTGGTCACTCGTCTCGAACTCAATCTGGCCGTCGGAGCGGCAATGTGCCAAAACATCCGAAACGCGTCCAACTCGGTGTGATGGTCACACATCCTCGGAAAGCTAGACGCATTTCGGGTGACTCCGTACATCAGCCGGATGATCCAATCGTACTTTAGGAACCGCGTCATTACTTACGAGAACGTCACGGGAACATCGCGTATGAAGCGGCGGCTGCGAAAAACCCCACGAACAGCTTAAAGGCAAGTTCTTTATGCAATATATTGTATAATCAAAAAGTGATCACCGAAAATACCATTATTTCATTAGTAGCTGCTCTTAGTAATTTAATACAATTCTGTTTGAAATGATCAACATTACGTTTGTTACATAGTCATACACATTACTGTTACATAACGATTACTACATATGTTTATAGTATTTTATTTTCTATAATTATTAAAAGGTCTTACACAAATTTATATTTATGCAATTCCATAAATATTTATAATGTTGTATCTAATAGTGTTATTTATACAAAATACTAATAATAATATTGAGTTATTTTAACTTATATTTCGCATATTAGTACTAAATTTAAACCCATAATTGAATCGGTGAGTGGAAGAACAGTACTAGTCAGTACTACTTTATTCATTAATTAGATATAAAAGTTTACAATTAAAATTGCAACTTGAATTAGTTAACTGATTTTAGCTTCGATGGGAAGCTGACAAGGTATTGGTTTTACTAAGATGTGTTTTTTTTTTTTTTTGAGTGTCTATTATCACTTTTTCTCAGCTCTCACCGAACCGATTTCTTTCAATGATTCGTCAAAAGATCACAAATTGTATCTAGTCTAAGACATTACCCACAAAAATTGAAAAATATTCCCTCGTTCCCCGTAAATTGGAGAAACCTCCAAAAAAATTACCCAATCAATATAACTTTTTTTTTTTATAGATGCATGATGTCTTTATTTATCATTTGGTATATTTCTTTTATAAATTTGACCCTTTACCTACCCGAAAGAAGGGTTTCAAAATGGCAACTATTTCACAAAAAATAACTTTTTTCAATTTAACTTTTGAAAGTGTTCCGGAAAGTCTGACACTTTTATAAATATCTTAAATTAAAGCTAATGTAATGTACTTTATTATGAAAAAAAAAATTTCTGACTTTATTTTATTTTCACGGTGAAAATGGCTACCAAATGCTATTTTTAACTGAAAATTCTCGATTTTATTTTTTACATTTTTTACTAATATAGTGCTATAACTTATTGAAAAGTGTATGTTATATAAACACATTTTTTTTACGAGAAATAATATTTATATCCCTTTTTCATTCGACATACTTTATTTTAATCAGGATATTAATAAGGAAATAGCAGATCATTTAGTTTTTGGAATAATCCGCCAATTTTTTAAAATTCAACACTATCTAAAGATTTGCATGGAAGCGTTTTTTTTAATAGTGATTTTAATCACTATCAAATATCATTATACTTGATCCAACTATACACGCCACCAGTGTACCGCGACCCCTATGTGCTGGGTTTTTTTATATGTTCTATCTAATGAAATCAGTTTTTTGGGACGTTTATGAGTCAATTGTGACTGTATTATTAATTTACAACAATGTGCCTTACTATTTTACTTTAAGAATATCTGTTGACAAAGTCATAATTGATACTTTTTTCTAACTATACTAATGATCAATACTAAATATGAGTTTAAATTCGTCCTAAAACTAGGTTTAACACGAATACAAAACTACTTGAGCACATTATTATTGAAACATCTTACAATAGTGATTTTAATCGCTGTTAAAATTAAATCTAAAAAGGTTTCCTATTTTCCCGGCATCTATCCATAGTCGCAACTAGAATAAAACTTTAGGGAGTGTTGCTATTATATTTTAACACCAAAATATATTTTTATATAAGATCACATATATATCCCACTTTTTTTGTAAGGTACTTTATTTAACCTCTAGTTGTGTCTTTACATCTAAATGTACTAGATTTTTGGATTATACTTCACTTCACATTAGAATAATCATAACTCATTTACATTTTTACCCACAAAAAAATATCGAATACATTAATTAAAATGTACAAGAAATTTAGTGTTTTGATTAATAAAAAAAAAA